GGATTGGATAGGGAAAAGACCCAGCAGAAAGTGGGCATGTGTCATAAGTGCAGCTATGAAATAATGGACAACCAACATGGCCCATCTGTGTCCTGGATAGGTAGACACCAGTTCAGTGACTTCCATATGTTTGTAACCTGCCTACCAGCACCTTCTGGAGAACAACCTCACACAGCAGCAAGACCTGGACAGAAATGACAGTGAGTCAGTAACATGGCCAAGACAAGGAAAACACAAGACAATTCAGGGGAAAGGACACAGATTAGCAAGGAGAAGACATAATCTCAGCTCTTCAATTCTCCAGTCATTCATGCAGCAAGCATTTATTGAGCACCTACTATATGCCAGACACTGCTTATTCAGTGCTGAATAAGACAGAGAGGGTGTCTATTCTCAAGGAACTTACAGTCCAGTTGGGAAAGACAGATCATATACAGATAACTACATAAAAGAATAGAATGGAGTAACTTCGGGTAGAAATGAGCTTGCTGGAGAAAAGTCCAGGGTGATATGCCATCATAAGCTGGTGGTAGTGGTAGGAAATTCTTCCAATGTGGGTGTCAAGAAAGGCCTCAGTGAAGGGGTTCTACATGAGCTTAGACTAAAATGGTAAGAAACAGCCATTCATGGGAAGATCTGGGTGGGAGTATTCCCAGCAGTGGGGACTATGACAGGAAAGGCTCTGTAGCTGGAATAAGCTTTGTTTATGAAATAGAAAAAAGGCCAAGCTGTATACAGCAGAGGGAGTGGAGGGTTGGAGGATGATTATTTGGACTTTATCAGCAAATACCATGGGCCAAGCCATGTGCTCGGTATTAGGATGCAAACCCAAGTGAGGCACAGTTCTGCCCTCAAGAGGCTGTGGAGCAGCTGGAGAGACTAACAGAATCCATCTGCTTATAAAACGACATGCTAGGTGCTTTATATGACATGAACAAAGTGCCACAGCTTCCTTAATCTGGAAGGGGACTCCCTAGGTTCTCTCAAATATCAAAACCACATTATTCTATGTCAGTCCATGGAGCTGCCATGTCAAAACTCAACCCCGATCCTGTACACCTCTCAGACCTTGGATCCTTAACTTATCCCAGAAAAAGGCAAGCACATAGTGCTCACGGCATGACAAGGCATGATTCTCGCTTTTCAAGAGTTTCTCTGCCACCCATTGGAAGAAAGAAGACAGAGAGTTTAGACAATATTGCAAAACAGGGTCTAAACCAAAATGAACAGGACAGACACAGAGTACCACAGAGGAATTAGGGGAACACAGAATGCAAAGGGTCCTGAATAGACCAGAGAAAACTTCATGTACAAAGGCAAGAAGCAAAATCCTGAGCCAGCATTCCAGCTCCCCCAATTGTTACCTGTGTGATTTCAGGTAAGGTACCCTCTCTGGGCCTCAGTTTCTCATCCACAAAATGGGGGATAATTAAGTCTATTTCAGAGAGTTGTGAGGATTGAATATTACTGTGTGCACAAAATGTTTAACATAGTAACTGACCGATGACTGAGAGTACTATTTACCTTGTTAATATGATTACTAGTGCATCATAGTGTGGTTTCAAAACTTCCCAGCAGTGCCACCTTAATCGAAGGATGTAAATACTCCATGCCTCAGTTTTCTCACTTCTAAAATTGGAATAATAATGGTACCTACATCATAGGGCTATTATTAGGGCTGAGTACTAATGTTAATGAGGTTTGAGGATAGGTTCTATATAATAAAAAACACTTAAATACTCCCTAACAAATAGTGAACACCCAATAAAACTTGGCTAATAGTATTATTATTGCAGATTCTGTTTTATGTAACCTCACCTTTTTTAAAGATATGCATACAAATATCCGCAGGAGGGCAGAAAGAGTGGGAGACTGCAAATTGTAATTCTTTTCAGGCTGTCAATGCCATCCCAGGTGAAAGGTTTCCCAATACCTCCACAAGGATCGTTAGAGCTAATTGGATGAAATAAAACATTTCTTAAAAGTTTCTTACATTAGAATCTGCTGCTGAGGCATTTATTCTTTGGGTACTGGAAAAGAACCTTTAAACATGATACTGGTGAGAACAAAGCGGAATAAAATGAAATCAGAGCAAAAAGTCCTCTGCTGGTTATGAAGAAAACTACATGCATCACCAGCATCACCCATAGAAAGGTGGATAGAGTAGCCCTCCAGGCCAGAGCAGAGATGCTCAGGCCATGTAGAGTTTGGTTCTGTAGAACCTGATCATAATCATTAACCGAAAAAGAAAGAAAAAGAAGACAAAAGAAGGAAGGAAGGAAGGGAGGGAGAGAGGGAAGGAAGGGAGGGAGGGAGAGAGGGAAGGAAGGAAGGAAGAAAGGAAGGAAAGAAGGAAGGGAAGCAGGGAAGAAAGGAAGGAAGGAAGGAAGCCCTGCCCCCCACAACACAATAACAAGCAAAAATAAAGTGACCCAGAGCCCTAAGCCACTAGATTGCTGTAACCTAGAATCAGGTAGCATGCAAATTTACCCATTTTTATGCAAACAAAATACATTCTCTGAAATTCCTATTTGCCTCTTTGCCCAGAGAATCAGAAAAATGCAAAGCCCGTGTTCAAGAGTTCAAGGGCTTCCACTCAACAAAACTACACCCCTCACAAGGCAGCCCTTCCTCGTCCTAGTGCATTAGAGTCTGAGAAGAATGGGGGTAAATCCTGAGAGGCATGAGTGCACTTTGTACAGGCAGCCTGTTACACCTCGTACCCGACTCATATCCTAAATCAGGCCCATGGCCAAGGGTGGGTGTCACTCAGATCCCAGCTCATCAAATTCCTGCCCACAGAGCTCCATCCACTGTGAGGGTCTTCCTCCTGAATGTCAGGAAGACCTTCAGCCCCTGAAGCTGGCACTAAATGAGAGAAGATGTTCCAGGAGGAATTCGGCTGGGTTGGGGCCAATTCAAGGGGGTAGAGAGGATGCCCCACCATATTCCCCTTCCTCCATCTAAATCCACACAATACCACTGTACAGAGAGCATATATGGAAATGCAAGCAAACATTACAGCTGAAAAGGGGATCACCAGGGTAAGAAAAAAAAAGAGACATAGAAGGAAAGACAAAGACAAGCCGGCCAGTATATGATAATGTAATTTTAAAGAGAAGCTGCTCCTATCCCAGGCCTGTCCAGTAGCTCAGCATCTGCCACATGCAGCCACCCTCTGGACAATCCTGATTCTTATGAGCCTTGAAGCCTGCCTGCTGGGGACCAGATCTTGGCCACCGTTCTCTGTCTGTTGGGGCCTGCTTGCTATTTATTTATCTTCAAATCTCTACAGAGCTGACCACCTTCGACCTTCCCTTGAAAACAAAACAGCAAAAAATCATTTCATTTATATCTAAAATGTTCCCCATATGAGAATGTCTCTGTTTTGTCCCTGGAAAGGCCTCCTCACAGTCAAGGTTTAGGGACAGAAGGTGCATCCAGAGAACATTAAATTTTCTTGATAATAACTGCTTTAGAGGTTCATTTTTGTTTTTTATTTAAGTAGTCTGAAAGCACTGCATATTTGCAACTCCCATGAAATCCCTTTATAAAGTAGATATACAATTATTTTCAAGTGGGGGGTAGCTAGATGTTTTACCTTTGTCCAAAAGCGTCCCTAAAGAGCTCAGTGGAAGAGATGGTTTTCATGAACCAATGAGTAACTAGGAGTTCGCAGGAGCCATGAGGGTTCTCTCTCCAAAGACAAAGGATCACAGGAGGTTTACCGTCTCTCATAGGTCCTTAAATTACACACTTCCTTTGGCAATGTCCTGATAATTCAGCTCTGTGTTGCCTGTGCCTTCTCCTAAACATTTTCAGTCTTGCAGGTATTACCTTAAGCGTACAGTCCACAAACAATTCAATCTTACAGTACAATCATCAGAAAGGCAAAACAGTTGACACCAGCACCAAGGTTATCGTAAGGATTGTAACATGCAAAGGACAAGAATATTGTCACGCTGCCTTGTGGCTAGTTCTAGTGCCCAGTTTGGAAAACTTTAAGAGAGCATACTAAATCAAAAGAGCGGCAGGGAAATCGTTCCCATGAACCTTGTTAACTTCTACCTTATGCTTACTCTCTTATAAAATTCCAGAGTAAAATTTCCCATTGCAATCATTAAGTGTGTTGCCCTCATGTGAATGGTGTGGTTTACCAACAATGGAATTTGAGTTAGTGTTTCTGCAGGAAAGGTAATCAGGGAGACAGAACCATCCTACCTTACACAAAGCATAGCCAAGATTCTTCTCCTCCCCCAGTTCCTGTAAATCTTAACCCCAGAAGCCAATCAGGACCCAAACCAACAATGAAACATAGCTTCCCTTCCATAGACTAGTTTGGCACATATTGTTTTGGTGGAGAACATGAACAGTTCACCAGAGTAAATGACATTTTCCACAGATAACTCAGATTCTGTGACTTCAGCCTCAGAAAGCCACGTTCAGACAGGAGAAAGCATCCCCCCCTGCCCACCAGCTCACGGCATGAAGGCATCTCAGGAAAGTGTAGGCACAGTCAGGCCCAGGACAAAACAGACTCTCTCAGAGTCCAGGAGCCAGAGTGGGCAACTCCCCATGGCATAGATAAGTTAAGGCATTCACGCCAAGCCAGACCCCTCCTTTGGGACTCATTAACTTCAGAGCAGACTGTTCACGCTGAGCCCCTCCAGGCCCCTAGTCACCATGGTCACCAGGCTTTCAGACAGTGCCAGAGCCAAATCAATCTCAGCGACCCTGGCCCAGCCACCTCTCACCCTTAGCAAGTGCCTGAGTCACGGAGGCCAGTTTGGAGGAAACAGCTCACCTCAGAACCTCCGTGTGCTTCCCTATGACTGCCACATTCCTGGGCAGAGCACCCGGCTCATCCATAAATTGCGCAGCCGAGGGAACCAGAGGCCTCTCTGCCAGCCTGGCACGCTTCGGCGCACACACGTGCACCCTTGCCCCTTACCCCCACCCCACACAAATCATCAATTCGTAGAAGAATGGCAGCTCCCTACCTGAGGGTGGCGCTCTCCCCCTGCCGGACCGTCACGTTGTCCATAGCTTTGGGGAAGGTGGCATCTCCGCTGCGCACGGGCACTCCTGTGGGTACAAGGAACAGCAGCCTGAGAGACACGACCACGAGGCACTTCCAGGGCAGGAACAGGTACCCACAGACCCCCATCCTCGACAGCCACAACTTCCCAGAACTCGGTAGCGGCTCAGCACACGCCCCCCGGGCGAGCACAGGAAGTGGGTGGGGTGGGAGAGCGAGCACGGGGACCGAGCGGTGAACTAGCGGCGACCCGGAGGCGCTGGGAGGAGAAAAGCGCGCAGACTCCTCCAAGTCGAATATTCCTCCCCCAAATCCAGCCTCAGCTTGCCAGCTTCGGAGAACCCGTTTCCACGAAGGACAGCCAAAGGGGGCTCTCTCCTTGCGGCTTGGCCGGGGAAAGGGGAGCGCAAGGCAGGGGCAAAGGTAGGGCACGTCTCAGCAGCTGCTTCTTCCCATTAACAGTTCAGACATGGCACTTTGGAGAGGAGTAAGCACTTTGGTACCAGAAGGGGAAGGGGTGGGTTTCATCCAGCTACCCAGAGGTGGTCGGCAATTCCTCAGTTCCGACAAGGGGAAATCCGACACTTTCTTTGTAAGTTTCGGAGGAAGGCTGTGGCCACCGGAAAACAATCAGTAACAATAGCAGATGGAAAGTGGAGCACGCAGGAGGCGCCCAGGGCTGTGCGAGGAGGAGACTGCCACGCCGGCTTCGTGCAATCCGGACCCGGGGATGCGGCGGCAGCCGCCTCGGTCAACTTCCCGGAGCCCACGCGCGCGCTGTATCCGCCGCGATGGGGCCGGGCTCGGCGGAGCGGTGGATGCGGCGGCCGAGGCAGGAGCGCCCGGGCAGAGCCGACCGCGGCGGCCCCTCGATCGCTCGCTGGGGAAGGGAAGGCTAGGCGCATCCGGCTCCGGAGCCGCGCGGACGCCACGCTCAGCGGCCGCCCCCGGCCTCCGCGCCGCCTTCCTCCCGGGAGCAGCCCTGCGCGCGCGGATATTGACCTGCGGACTTGAATTGAAAATCTCCATGTTGCTGCTTGTGAGTGATTGAACTGCTTCACATCTTAGAATTTTTTCACATAGGTAAAACAAGATAAAGAAAGAGATAACAAGCCAGGCTCGGTGGCTCAGCCTGTAATCCCGGGCCTTTGGGACGCTGAGGTGAGTGGATTGCCTGAGCCCGCGGGTTCGAGACCCGCCTGGGCA